ATATAGATTTTCTCCATGACAGTCTGTGTCTAACCTGGTTTTTCAACAGCCATTCACCATTGCTAACTGAGTCTATCCATCTTGCTGCTGATCAGCCTCTTCATGCTTTGTCTTTATTGCCAGTGTTCTGTCCTAGAATTTGTGAGGTAATAAAAAAAAGTCTGCTCCTGGTCCTTTTTTTAAATTCATGTAGAATAAGCATTGTATCTGAGTGAAGGTACCTATCCATGAAAGTAATTTTCTGTCCAGTTACTGGAGTATAAATGTAAATTGGAGCCATGTGCAAATGTGCATCTAAGTATTCACGACAGTTAAAGCAACAAGTGTGCAGACCACAACTTCCCATATGTAAAGTTGGGGGAAAGCTGCAATGCTACATAGAGATTGTGTCCATGCCATGGACAATGGCATAACATTCTGAGCATAATCTGAAGTCCATCATACTGAACATAATTTGAAGCCCTTTATTATTTCACTTGACACACCTCGCAGAGGTTCAGAGATTATTTAGCATTTCCTGATGACTGTCAAAACTAGGCTAATTATCTGGTAGCAGAGCCAGGAACAAGCCTAGTCTTGAGAGTCAACTGAAAATGCCTATGCTTTTATTACGTAGATAATAAATTATAATACTAAATAAATGGGAGCGAAAGATAAAGAGATAAAAGATAATAAAAAGGAGACCCGAGCAATTAATTTCTATACGTTTCTTTCAGCTGGCTGCCCTTCCTGGCTGGGATGCATACGGTATACAGAACAAGGGCATCCAATACAGGATAACACAATTCTATTCTCACATTTCCTTAGATTGCACTACTTTTCCTGATTCTCTGGTTCCAGAATCCTTGGAAATTGGAGCTTTGAATACCTGTCTTTGGAGGGGGGGTCCTTGGTGCTCTCTGAGCTTGTTTTCTTGTAAACTTTTCATTACCCTAACTAGGTAACAGCACTCCTTACTGTTAGGAGTTGATGTTACCTAGTTAGGATAATGAAACCTCTGCAAGAAAACAAGCAAGCTCAGAGAGCACCAAGGGCCTCTCATTTCATCTCTGAGCTACAAATGTTCTCCTTCATTGGTACCTGTCTTTGTGTCAGCTAGACAAGAGCCGTTCCACTCTTCTTAGTGACAGAGAAGATACAACACAGGCAAGCTTGAATGTCCCTTTCATCTTTCTGACGTCCACTTTAGAATAAATTTTCCTTTTTCTGATTGTTTCTTTGAAGTTTGAATTTTTTTTCCCTGCATTCTGATGGTCTGTCAGCTACCTAGACTGGCAAGTTCAGGTTGATTTGACAAGTTATATTAAATTTTTCCTTTAACTCTTTTGTGTCTGAATTTCCTGGGATGGGATTTCTCCTTACCCACTTTAGGATAGCATTCCACAAAAGAAAATAAGTTTTAAAAATTAAATATATTTAATAAGTTTTAAAACAATTGTTTATTATTTTTAACAATCAAAATTTTAAAACAGTTAATGCTGAATTCATTTTTATTTTCTCCATGTATAATAGCCAGGATATAGTTTGCCAAAGCACTGGTGAACCAGCATTTGACCTACACAATTATAGGGAGATGTTTGAATCCTATCAGTTTCCCTTTCCCACTTCAGTGTTCAGGTAAAGAAACTAAGAAAGGAACTCAGACAAGGAATGAGCTTGGAGCAAAGAGGGATGTGAAAGGAAAAACACACACATGGATACAAACTAGTGTCAAAGATCTCAACTGGAAGGAAGGACTTTGCAGGAGAAAGGATTGGACAATAAACATGATTGAATGGGGCATCAGAAGCAGGGAAGGAGGCATAGAAGAGATAAAAAAATAGAACATTAACACTCAGTATCCCTTCCCGCCAGTGACCAAATTCGAAAGGCATATTGGTATTGTTTCATTGGAATTCAATGATACATTGACCAGTGGCAATCAAGTCTCCCTGTGGCTGAATACAGCTTGAGTTATCTACCTTTATTCTATTCCAATAAAGTCGATTTGGAGAGTTGGAACTTCCTTCTCTATCTGTTATATCTTAGTTTGAAGGAAGCAAATATGTGAATTTGGGATATAGGTAAATATATACTTATTTTACTAATAAATGTGTTTCACCCAACTGTTTATATTCATTCTGCAAATTTTATGGAGAAAGAGTTGTACATGTGTAGAAATAAGCAACTCCAATGTAAGTCTGTCTGAACAGAATTCTGGAAAAGAGGTATTAACACAGAAATGATAATCAGGTCACACTTCAATAAAAGGACATTTATATTCTAAAACATGGGGGGAGGGGTTGCAAAATAATCTTTCAAGACTTTTTAAAAATATTGCCCTTTGGTTAATTGAAACTATTTTTTAAATACTGTGTTTATGATGAGACTAAAACAATATAGATGACATATTTCATTAGTTCAGTTACTTCCATTCTTACTTTCAATAATGTAATATAACTATAGAAATGTTTTACTAAAATACAAATTCCAAAAATCATGAAATATGTTTGAAGATTAATTTAATTAATTTAAGATGGAATGGGTCTGCCCCTAACTAGCCTTCGTGAAATCATACTACTCTGAGTACATCATAGTTCATATTCTATATGGCAACCAATTTCAATTTTTCATACTTTAAATATTATACATATAAA